TCCCCCTAAAAATCTGCCCCCACCCCAACCCCTTAAAATCTTGAACACTATGCATTTGGTAGATAGATCTAGAATCATGATTTTAGATCTTGATTCAGAATCAGTGTTTGTTTATTGTGATTCTGAATCATGATTCAGAATCTGATGTAATTCCCCCACCCCCAATCCCCCTAAAAATCTGCCCCCACCCCAACCCCTTAAAATCTTGAACACTATGCATTTGGTAGATAGATCTAGAATCATGATTTTAGATCTTGATTCAGAATCAGTGTTTGTTTATTGTGATTCTGAATCATGATTCAGATCTGATGTAATGTTTTAAATCAGAATCACTCATGATTTTGAAACCACTACCCTCTTGATTCAAGTTGATTCAAACATCTGGTTCTGAATCATGGTTTCAGAATCATGATTTGAACCTAAAATCATGAATCATAGTTTTAATTCTAGAATCATGATTAGAATCACTCTGGTTTGAATCCTCATACCAAACGAACTTCGCTTTTGGAGAGTAAAGTTATAGCAGCCATCTCCCCTAAAAATCTTGAACACTACACTAGCTTGCTTCTTTGTCTAGCATGTTTTAACAAGACAAATACCAATTTATTTCCCTATTTAGCATGTTTAAGTTCAAACAATTAATTCTCAGCTTATGAGAAGAAAATGTTAATCCAATTTAATTAGTATTATCTAGGAATATACTTAATTCTCAGCTTATGGCCCGTTTGATATAAGGATTGAAATCAGAGTGATTTGAGTCTTTGGATTTAGAATCATGATTCATGATTTGAATCATGATTCATGATGATTCGAACCTTTGTTTGGATGTGTGCAAGCATGATTCTGATTCTAACCTGAATCATGATTTGAACTAGTGTTTGGTTGTGTTGTTTTATGATTTTGAACCATTACAAAAATAATAACCACATTTTGGCTCTAAAAATTACGTTACGTGTAATTTTAAAAAATATAATTCGGTATATAAGTAAGAAAATGAAATATTAGAGACAAATAAATGCAAACACACGAAATATTAAGAACGTCAAAAACTTTTGTTTACAATAATGAATACATGAATACACAAATAAATGCAAACACACGAATTTTTGTAAACAAATCCCAACCCATGGCAGCTACCAGAGGCTGAAGTCGGGGAAACATTCAAGAACGTGTTTTCCAGACACACGAGCATAATGGTACATGTCTCTTGTAAATAAATAAATATATATATATATATATATGTAATACCTAATGTGTTGTTAACATACCTAGCTCAGCAAAATCTATGAAGTTCACAAATGGGATATAGCCATCAAATAACAATTTGCACTCCATCCAGGCAATTAAAAAGCTAACAAAGCACAAAATTGGACATGGAAACACCATGAATGCCACCTAAGAGGCCACCAATGAATGACCTACCATTTCAAATTTTACATAAACAGGAGCTATTATAAGTTATAACTGCCTTCTTATCAATCATACCTAAAGCAAACTAAAACGGCACGGGCCTAGTGCAACCCATTTTTCTCGGGTTTCTAGTTTCATCTCATGCTCTTCCTGGAATAAGGTAGACAATATTAAGAACATGTCAATTGAGATGACAAAAAAAAAAGAAAAAAAAAAGAAAAAAAGGTTGTTGTATGCATGTTTACATACCGCTAAAGTCAAGACAAAGGAAGTTGCTTCAATGATCGATTTCTCGCTCCGTTCACACTTGTCTTCCACGGCTACCCTGGTATTCTACCCACATTTCATTTGCAAGGCGATCCCTAAAACGACCCATCTCTGTATGACTAACAGTACCTGCTGTTACAACTGGGCCTTCAGGGACATTGCCATCATTGTCATCGTCATCAAATTCATCTTCATTGTTTGGATCTATTTCACTTACAGGTACACCATCCCGGTCGTATTGACTTAGAAGTGGATCACCCTCATTAACCATGTGGATGAAATTATGTAGTATTGCACAGGCAACTGGAATTTTCACTTGTTTATCCATTGGATATGTATTATTAGGCCGCCTTAGGATAGGGAATCTAGCTTTCTAAACTCTAAATGTTCGCTCTATACAATTTCTCAATGATGAGTGTTTGTAGTTAAAAATATCCCTAGGTCTCCGAAATCCACCACTTCTCCTTCTGTAATCCGGCAAATGGTAAGTCCGCCCTCTGTACGGAGCGAGAAATCGATCGTTGTTCACATACGCTGCATCAACAAGATAGTATTTTCCTATGTAGCATATCCAAATTAGGCTGCAAATTGAAGGTCATTAACAGTAAATAGACATAAGGGGAAGTGGTAAGTGTAACCTGGTGGTATACGTTGGAACTTAGACCTAGGATTCTCAAGCGCATCCGTGAGCACTCGAGCATCGTGGGCTGAACCTTCCCAACCGGGTAATATGTATGTGAACTTCATATCAAATGAACAGGCTGCCAATATGTTCTGCGAGTTCACACCCTTTCTATTTCGATAAGCCGCTGGGTTAGGAACACCAATTGGTGTGCAAGGTACATGAGCACCGTTAAGTGCGCCTACACAGTCCTGACCATTTCAAACAAAAGTTATAAACATAATTATGTATGTATGAGAATATCAATGATATGTAGTTAAAAATAATACGATAAAGATCAACACAACTTACGTCGAACCATGTACCATATCTCTAACGGTTGGCACGTAGAAATTTAGGCACTTTGTCATAATTTGGGGGCTTAATGAATTCTTCTTCTAATTCACAAATAGCATCGAAAACTTCTGTAAACCTACGTGATATTGTCTCCCCTGAATGTTGCCATGCGTCTTGTGCTTCACGATTACTTTGGCTTTGTGAAATGATTGTTAAGAACACAAATAATTGTTCAGGTACGCTCATGTTATATAAGGGTCGTAGCTGTTGGTTCCCGAATCGAATTTGGATGCGGAAGCGTGGGGAAAGGCGGATCGTGTATAACAAAAATTTTCATAAAACTTTTGAGATACTCTATAGATTATATTAATTTATGCACGAATAAATTAATCGCATTAATTTACATCAAGAACTCAATCCGGAAAAATACATGGAAGCCGACTCGGATGATAACTTGAATTCTTTGACCATGAACAGTCCTTATTCCAAGTTTTTGTTTAGAATACCAAAGTCTTCCACGTCAATTCCTTGATCCCACGTAGACGTGTGTGTGGGCACACATGAGACAAAATAAGTTTCTTAAACACTCGAATTTCCACAAACACCAACGCATGCACGATGTGGAATTTTTGGAGAAAAAATTTTCTTCTCTTTTTTGCTCTATGAATTTTCGGCCACATTAACTCTTAGGGCTGAAAAATATGTTTCAAAAATTGTGTCCACAATTTTCTATCATTCTCATATTTAAAGAGTAGAAGTCAAACTTCTAAACAGAATCAAATCCCTATCTCCAATTATAAATTTTTGAAACAAAAAATCCCTTCCCTTTATCCATAAGGTGGCCGGCCACACCCTTAGGGTTTCACCCTGTGTGTGGTGCCAACTAGCAGATAGGGAAGGAAGAGAAATCATCTTTTATCCTGTAGTCCAATTTTAATTCAAATTCAAATTCGAATTTAAGTCAAACTTAAATTAATTTGAATTCTAAATTGAACAACTTATCAAATAAGTTCAAAAGGATAAATTTAAATTATGTTCACAATTCAAATTCAAA